GTATGGGATAAGATTGCGGGCATCTACCTCTGGCAGGCTTCTGTACCCCCCTGGAAATGGGCAGTGATTGAATTCTGTTTTAGATTCTAGCCCCAAATGGCATAAACAACAGAAACTTGTGCAAACTGCTCATACTTAACAGTGTATTTGCCCGGGAGATGGATCAGTCACTGCTCAAGTCATCCAGATCTCTGGAGAAGATCAACACTGTTTTATAACTGGACTTTTTAATAAGTGGTTTTTTGAAAATGACAAAGCAAGGAAATTCATTTTGTGTTGTTGTTGGGGCCAAAAAGGCTCTGTTTGGAGAACAGGGGTGCTGTGATAACAAACTGACAGAACCAGGGAGCCTTAGAGTCGGAGTAGGAGCTAAATGTCACAGTATCAGTTCCAAACTTGAACTTGCCCCAGAGTATTAGGTGAATGTTGGAAAGATGCTGCCATTTAAGGATATTTTAATTTTAATGTTTAATTATCTTAATTCCACATTATCCTTGAGCTGAATGGCCTGTACTTGCCAGAGCTGACCCTCACAGAATGTAGATCCCACGCTGCCTTTGTCTTTGGATAACTGTGCTAGCCAATAATACTAACTTGTACAGTTCAGGGAGGGAGGTGATGATAAGGTTCCTGTTAAATGGCACTTAGTGCTTTTCATACGAAGCCCTGGTGGCACAATGGTTAAGCACTTCGTTGCTAACCGGAAGATTGGTGGTTTGAACTCACCAGCAGCTCCTCGGAAGAAAAGACCTGGCGATCTGCTCCCATGACAGTTACAGCCTGGGAAATGCTATGGGGCAGTTCTACTCTGTCCTATAGGGTCGTTGTGAGTCAGAATTGACTCGACAGCACACAACAACAGTGATTATCATGTGTGATACCAGTGTGCAGAAAGAGAGGAGGGATATAGGCGCTTTACAGCCGTGTTCTTAGGCTTGGGAAACCAAGGGAAGGAGAAGGGGATGGAAAGGTTCAGGTCAGATTGGTGTGATGTCCAGAAGAGGGGGGCCTTTGTGATAAACTTGAACCTGCACTCATTGAAAAGAGCGCCCCCCGTAGGTCCTTCTTCTCAAAGCTTGCTAGAAGAGTAGACTTCCTGAATCAAAACCTGCATTTCAGCAGTCACCCCAGCTGATGCAAGTTTGAGAAGCACTGTCCTAGGAGAATCTGAATAGTCTGGACATAA